ATTATGAAATGAGGCCAGAAAGAAATCGTGTGATATATCCAGAATCACATAAATTTTGACACGAAATTAGTAATGATTGCTGCCTTGATATCAACTTTTTATTGTCGACCAATTTTCTGAATGAATGTCGGTTATCCATATAATGATTCCAGGACAAAAACCACGGCACTCTTTCTATCCTGTTCACTTCGCTCTGGCTCGTTTCAGGATTCATTGACCTAAGGTTACTTTACTTTTCGTATCATCTCTATTGTTGTTTCCTTTTACGGTTCGATGAACTAGTCTGCATTTACTATTCGTAGGCCACCAATGATAAAATTTATTGCAATAGGGCGGACACAATATCAGAACGTGATATTCTGTTTTGATATTGTGTCCGCTCGGTTAAATTTTATTATTTCAGCAATAACTACTCTTCTAGCAGGTAGTTTTCTTGAAGCTAATGTGCTCCATCCAATAGATTTCAAGGCGGTGAAAGTTTAGCTATGCATAGCCATGTTACTTGCTTTTGTTGTGCGTTCTATACAGATATTCACCAATCAATTCATTCTTTCTTCTATGGCTACTTCCGCAAATTGCGTTTGCACTGAAGCGTAGGCCGTCATAATGATTAATAGTAATATAATGACAATGCAACAAAATAATAATATGAAGAGCAATACAGATAAAATAACATTCCAATAAAATAACGNTAAAATAACATTCCAATAAAATAACGAAATAGTGAAATAAGTATTTCGGTATGTTTCGTTAAGTGTCAATAGCGCGCTATTGTCCATTTCTGATAATAAGAATTAATAATAATAATGATAATAACAGCAATAATAATAATAACAATAATAATAATAATAACAATAATAACAATAATAATAACAATAATAATAAATAAAGCAATAATACTGCAATGGTAACAGCAATGGTAACACTATTAGCATTATTATTAATAATCACTGCAGTGCTCCACTCAGAACAGTTGAAAGAATAGCCAAAACCTATTCTATTCTGTTCTATTCTCCACTCTCCATTCTGAAAACCATTCTGTTCCGCTGATCAACTGCTTCGATCTATCGCATTATGTGGAGCCGCTGAATTTTGTTTCGTGGAAATGAACATTCTAACTGTAACAGTAATGTTACTATACCAAATAACTTTTGCCGGTACAAAAATTCGTTGCAGATGTCTCACAATAATTGTAAATCACTTTCAATTTCCAATTACGTGCTTCTTTGTGCTCGCAGTGGCTGAACGTGTCGGTTATGCCGTGATCAAAGAACACAAACTTGTGGTAATTTGCCCAAAATTTTCGCTCCTTTAAATTGAGATTCCATCCGCACGAAAACTTCTCGTAGTCGAATAAGGATTATTATTTCTTTATCAATTTTAGCGAGGTGCACTCAATCATTTAATATTGTTGCTGTGCCTCACCATAATTGGTTACGGCCTGATTATCTTCGCTATTTACAAATATGGCGTGTTACACCGTTACCACCTCCCTCTATCATATATCAGTTAGTCAATGTGTTCAGATTAATTTTTGAAGATCACTCTTCATTATTTGGTTAAGGTTATTTAAGCAGTCTTATTTAATTGTTAATTGCATTGCTATTTTCATTGTTATTATGATTACAGTTTTTACTATTAGAATCATTATTCACAAGGAAAAGCAAATTTATTTACTCAGCACTAGAACTGCGAAGACTTTTTTTCTCATGTAAATTCATTCAAACCAGAGATTCTGCGGCATAGTATTCAGTTATTTTATTGGGCATGCTAGCAGAACTACCCCATTTCCAGATGTTTCATTACGTAAGTGGGCCTGTTCTCATAAATCCCCTCCTTTCTATCAGAAGCCATTTCTCGGGTACCCAAAGGATGCAAGAGCTGATTTCAATATCGCCGCGATAAGTATGAGAACCTCTCAGTGGAAATATTGATAGTTGTTTTCATGCAGAGGAGCAAACAGAAGTGAGTTTCGAAAGGTTAAACGAACAGATTACAGTCGGTTCATTCGCTGGTTACATCGGCAGAAAAAATTCTCTTCGGGCAGACGAAGAAAATGTTTGTTTTTATTAAATTTCGATCCGATTGTTATCACATTGACGTCGGTCTCTGGCTTGTGAACTATCCATCCTCCCTTTGTGTTAGATTTCTTTAGTGCTGAAAAGTTAATGGTTCACTTGGTTGAGCCGATCCTCAGGTTTGGAAACAGCCGATCTGTTTCCAATTCTGACGGATTGGAAACACTTTCTGAACATCTATGGATTGAACAGACAATGTGATGACAGTCGATCATTAAATTGACACTTCTTGAGTAATAGGATCACAGTATTACTTTCGCCGTACTAAGTTAAGATTTTATTCAACACTAACAATTTAACCAGCTGATATTTATGTATGCAGCCCTTGTCAGTTGACTCCAACGAATTGTGCAAAGCTTTAGGACTGAAATGTCCATTTTATCCGCACTTTGTTCAAAAATAGCATCAAACTCCAAAACGATTGACGATTCAATTAAGAGTGGAAGACTAGACATGAAAATTTCAATTTCAGGTCATGATCTACTCGTTACTGCAAACGATGCGAAATATCTCTCTCCGTAAATTTGCTTCGGAACATCTTCAGATGTGTTTCGATATCAGAGTGAAACGGAGCACCATTTGCGAACGATATTACGTGAGCGTTTCTGTCTAGGTGTTTAGAAACACGCTCAAAAAACCTGAGACAATTTGTTCAAATCCGATTGTGAAATAGTGGGGAGTGTTCACTTTGAGGACGTTATTGAATGCCTTAGCAAAGGTAGTATTATTGTTTGTCAGCAGTTGGTTAACGCTGACCGATGCTTACTGAGAGTTTGCAATTCGAAAATGACAAACCCACATTCATCAAGATTTTTCCTGTAATCATGGAAAAGGGTGTATTTCGAAAGAAACTCTAATGTAATAAAAACCAAGCTTCATAATGCGATACAACTTCACAGGAATACATGCAAACGATCAATCGAGCGAATGAGACAGAATTAGCAAGCGTGCAATTTTTTATCGATGCGCCCTTCACAATTTGTGACAGCTTTGTTAGCAGGCTGAAAGCAGAGGTGAGGTGTCCGTGAAATCCCCTCAGTTGATGTGCGCTCATTATCTTTGACTTATGTTTAATCTTTATGAACCATTCGCAAATGCACGCACTTTCCACAACCAGTCGTAACCGCCTTGGATGCGTCCTTTTCCAACCAGATGATTAACTATTTCTTTCGGTATCGTTGCATCCTTTCTGGATCATGTCGTTGATCCTCTTCAGTAGCTTCAGTTTGATATGACTATCAGTCTACTAGTGGAAACCTTCACTGCAACCATACAATCGATCAAGCCGTAATACAAGGACTATGATTAGTATTGCTGCTCTTCTCTCCGAATAGTCCACATAGGAAAATATAGCGAAAGTTGCTCGAACTGTTCTTAATTTAATGCAGTTTTATTTGAAGCAATCATTTCACTTGAAGCAAACATTTCATAATGTTAATTTTTGCACGCAGCTTCAAGGGTTTTACATGCAATACAACTGATAGCAGCTCTCCACATGACTGAATGGTGTATTTTTTAGGAGCAAGTCAAACGATGCCCTCATAATCTATGGCACAACGGCGCATTCTTGATCATATTCTTTGCCGTGCTCATCATAGGTAGTGGTCGGCGTGTGGACGATGGTTTAAAATGGATATTTTATCATTCACCAGATATATCTTCCCCTAATCTTGATTTGCGAATATACGGTATCGTAAATGTTCACAATTTATTCGAAAAATTCAATCAACAATGCAATTTTCACTAGTGCATTGTGGGCACTGAAAAAAGCTCCTGTGAAACCATCGGGAATGGGGAGTTCCTGAGCTGAAAACTCCATCTCATTTCTAACCGTGATTCTCGGATTTTACACGAAAACATAAAGTCTGAATTGGAGCTAGTGGAAATTTTGGAAGAGGCGTGTCACTTTACCCGGGAACACTCTATTATTTACTATGGACTGTACTAGAGTTGGTTCGCAAACAAAGCGTGGGATGAACCGCTAAAGTAGCGTTCTCCGCAATCAGCCGTTCCGCTTTTCTTTCTACCCAGTTGAAATCTTCTCGAGGCGACAAGACACCTTGTTAGCCGTGGGCTGCCAAAGGAGGCTCAGAAATTAAGGCTTTAAAGGTGGCAGTATCAAATTCTTAGATCTATTCTCGCATCCTATTAGCCGCCTAGTAGATATCCAGTACATTTAAATTTATTTCATCGTCCAATTGACCGTTCATTTGAACACCGATCAATGCTCAAATGATCGATGACCGAGCAAAACTGAAAAATGTTGGTAACCACAGAAAGAGATCGATTTAATGCTCGAAAAATTTTCTTCTCTAGGAAAACAGCACTTCAGATGATACGGTAGCTAGAAAACAGGTGAGACAAAGTGAACAAGAAGGAACACTACTGAAAAACTGATATCAAATTACATTAAAACTTTATATTATTCAGTGGCATCAAGAACGGCATCGCGTACATTCGACGCGTTTTCTCACCCTCGTTGAGTGATAGTGTGATTGCTAGTTCCTTGGAATGAACCTCATTCTAGGTATAATCCTCAGTGTGTTCTCTCTTCCTGGTTTCACTCTTTTCATCAAAGCCGGAATTCTCACGTATTACGTTTTCCGAAGTAAGTTTCTTTTACGTGAAATGATTCATCTGAATGAATATATAGCGATCCTTTAAACTCTGAATAAGAAAAACTGTTTTGTTGATCAAAATCACAACCTTCCCAAAAAGAGAGTCGAAGAGTGGGAAATTACTCTTTGGGTGTCCGCGAATTTATCAGCAACTGAAATATTTTTAAGCTAACTGTGGCAAACGTGATCATAACCTCTAACTAAAATCGACAAATAAAGCGTCACCATTGACTCATGTCGTTGTCACTGCGACGGACGGGTTCCAAAAACGAACGACTGCATTTTGATATATATCGCTGACACAGGTTCACTGGAGCTGCAGTTTGTTGACAAGTTGGCCATATATTTATGTGCCGCGATAACGATGCTGTTCATGCTTTTGCAATCGCCAAGTGCGCTGAGAAATATCCGCCGTGATCGTCAGCTTCGAAGTGAGATGAAATTAATGATCGAAAATGAAAACAAGGGAGAGACACCACACAATAAAGTGAGTCAATTTCATTGCTTCGCTCATGTGAACGGCGCAGTGTTGATCTGATCTGTTTAAATATGTTCCAGTGCATAAAAAATGATCTGATATCGATGAGGAAACCAATTCAGCGCTATAACGCCTGCACATCATGCTTGTCATCAATTATGCTATTCACGATAAAGAATGATGCATTCATGATCATTCTTATGATTGTGCCTCGTCTTGAACTGTCTATATCTTATCTCAGCACCTTATCTTCTTTATGAATATATTGAACAATTTGTAATTTTTAATGTATAATTTCCGTCGTTCACCTATTTTCGTTTTATTCCTTATCCATAACGCTACATTTATTATTATAGATCACTGTTGTTTGCTTTCGATTTCTGTGTGCGTGAATCAAAACTCGCTCCTCTATCGTCCATCTATAGTTGACTTGATCGCGTGTTTCTATTTATCTTATTCAATGTCATTAACCTGCATCGACTAAATTGATTGCCCCAGTGAGCCTCAACCTGGTCGTTTAGCCAGCTGTCAACTTATTATTTATTCATTTGACCGTTTTCCTCTTCAACAAAACTCACACGCTTTCTTCCCTTCCCCACGTTTCATGCAGAAAACAACCCGTGCCTCGTAATCCCATCAGTGTTGCTTTTCATCGGTAACATACCATCCTTATCATCCCCATAACTCCCATCAGTTATTGTCATCCTCATTCTGCTGTATTAACAGTCTATTTATTCTAACTCATGTTTGCTAATAAATTAATCTTACGTAGTGAATACTGGACACATACAACATACCACCAGACACATGCAGTTACTGATACCGTCAAGCACACAGAGTCGGTCGGTATCGTCCGAACCGTTTTCAATCATCTCCTCCCCGGGCATAGTTTTTTTGCCATTGACTTCATCTTCAAGCATCACAACGAACTAATCTTTCACATCAGGATAATACCAAAAATCAAAGTAATATTTCTGATAATAACAATGATCAAGTCACTTCCACAGGAAATTTTCTTCAAATTAGTCGAGATCAGAGAGTTCACTCTGAATCAAACATTTTTATTATCATCATCTTCTTTATGTAAGTTATAAAATGACAGACTGCATTGTACTACAAATGAGTAAGTTTCAGGACGAGTTGATTGACAATGAGGTAATTGGTCATTTGGGAAAGTTGACTGAGGGATATCAGTCGGTGAAAAGGGCTGAGATAATTCGCAAAATGAACGGAGAGCGGTAATCGTTTCAATAATGTTTTCATTTGATGACGACTTTGTCACCAAATCAACTGCATTACTTTATGATATGTGACTCTACTGGTTTTGCTGTGGCAAGGAAGCAAGACACCTTTTATTGTTTGGATGATAGCGCATGAGAATGCCGGAGACAAGCCCAGTAACTGGCAATAAGATATTTCAACCTTGTGCAAAAGGCAAGCTAGTTTAAGAACGAGGCACCCTAGAACTTTAAGGACTGAGACTACTGGAAAAAATACAACAAAACATTCATTTGGTAGTACAATATTACCAAATTCACTTAATATGAATTGTGGTATGAATACCGGAAATGCCGCGAATATTGATACCACGAGTCCCGAGATCGGTATCGCTTTTCTAAAACCGGTATTCGGTAGTTTCTGAAACCGAGTCCCGGGACCGAGATCTCGTGCTAACACTCACTGTAAGTCTTTTGCAGGGAACTCGTCTAATTAAGGTCTGAGAAATGTTACTTTTCCCAGCAACAGAGTCGTTTGTCTAAAATTCATTGCCTATCAGGTGTTTCTACACATGCTAATAGTTTTACGGCAATTATGGTTGAGTTTAGATTGTTCAGAGGATTGGTCTGGCTGCATCTGTCTGAGCTGTTGTTGAAGTGTAGATCACCTATTTCTTCACTGCGCAAATATCTGCGAAACAAGACACAAATCGAAAACATCAAACAAAGCGACAGGCAATGTTTTTTGCTTTCATCCTTTTCTCGTTGTTCGCTGCTCATGCTCGCGAGTAGTGATGGAAACCGCAAGATTTTTTTTTCGGTGGTCCTCGACCAAATACCCTATCGGTGTTAACCGATAGGAAATTTTTGGACATCGTGGACTGTCGATTGGTGGTAGCCGAAGTTTGGTTTGCCGAGGCTCCCGACCGAACAAGCCGTTTTGGTTTCAGTCGGAGGTCAGCGAAGTTCAGGGCTACCAAAATTCGACATCCGCCGAAAGTGGGCTTCGTTCGGTTTCGCTCGGCAGCACCAAAATTTGTTGCATGCTTGCCACCGACCGGACAAGCCATTTCCGTTGCGGTCAGAGTCCTGCCACCGATTTTCGAGTGCCCCCGAATTTCAGTTTTTCTTGGTGGCACCAGAAACCTCGTTGTACAAGTCCTATGCTGTGCATTTATCGTTTTTTCATCGTAGGATTGTATTCATTTGAAACGAACATTTCTCGACACAACTTTACATTAAGCAGAAATGAAAGTTTACCAAATCAAAGACAGTGTTGGGTTGCGAAATGTGATTGATAACGTCATATATTGATGGAATTGTACAGAGATTGTTAGCGGTTATATTATCAGCAGTAATATTATTAGTAATCTGGGTAATAATAATAATAATAATAATAATAATAATAATAATAATAATAATAATAATAATAATAATAATA